TCTCGTTGCGTCACACCTCAACCCGCCTCAAAGCCAACGCTGATTGGACGTTCGTTTGGTGAACGGCTCCTAATTTTCTTTAACGGAGAGTCTCCAGACTAATTAGCGAGTGAAACCTTGAAAGCTCGCGAGATCAGGATGGTCTCACGAGGCTAGGACAATCCTGCCAACAACCCCAACTTGTAGTTTGAAAAAAAGTATTCAACTATATACTGGAACTGTTGTTTATGTTGTAACTTACCCTCAGGCTCTAGTCCCAATTTGACCAGCATCCTTAATGTACATGTCTGTCATGTTATGACATTCAAAATGCTGAAGCTTGTCCAGAATCACTGTAGCAGTCCAGGTTTCTTTTCCTACCTACTACAATAGAGTTCTAGGCCGTTTCTCAATTCAATAGAACGCGAGTACGGACTCATGTCCTCGCCAAGTATGTTCTTGAGAAGAACACATGAAAGTCTGGACTTGGTGAGAACCGGAGCATGCAGCATAAATCTGGGTCAATTGGAACAGAAGCGTACTCGTGAGGTCACCACACACTCGGCTCGTCTAGAGCTGCATTTCACCTCCTGTTATTATTAATAGTCTCTAGATAATAATAAATTCTGACATTTTTCATTTAGTGGGGGAATAATAATGAACACAGTCAGATAAACACACATCAAATTAACATTTTGCCAAATAAAACAAAAAAAAAAACGCCATCAGAGCCAGCGGAACTTCACACACGGCTATGCAGAGAGAGGGCTGCTATAGACGGGCTGCCGTTAGCCTCGGGGTACGCTGGTTCCCGCAATCCTCTCAACTTCAGAAATCTTTTTTTTTGTTATGCATTAAATCGGTAAATGGACCATATAGAGATGCTCTAAAGTATAATATTCTCGCCTCAAATGATCTTAAAAGGTACTTTTATTGAACAACAGTAACAGAAAAGAGAACTTTAAACTTTTATTGGAGCTCTCCATTAAAGCTGCTGTTACCGTATTGCATGCTGGGACAGCTGTCAATCTCAACAACGAACAAGTCTGCTCTGATGCATACTCGATAAAAAGGGCGGGGCAAGAACAACATCCAAGGATTTGGTGCGTTCTCGGCAAATGGAACAGTGCTCGGGCTGAGGCTGATGACGTGTCACGAGCACACAAGCACACAAGAACGCTCAAGAACGCATATTGAGAAACGGCCCTACTGTTAAAAGGTAGAGGGATAGGAACTAGGAACAGGAGCTATGATCAGGAGCTAGGAACAGGAACTAGGAACAGGAGCTATGATCAGGAGCTAGGAACAGGAGCTAGGAACAGGAGCTATGATCAGGAGCTAGGAACAGGAGCTATGATCAGGAGCTAGGAACAGGAGCTAAGAACAGGTGTTAGGTGCCACATGAGGTATTCTATTTGAAGACTTATCTACGGCATCATTATATTATTGATGAACTTGAATCTTACAACTTCATGAACAGCTGATGTTTCTTTGTCTCTAGGTCTATTTGCTTAATTTTAAATGCAGCTCAATTATTCTGCTGAAGAAGAAGAAACAAACAGTTCATTGCTCAGGTTGGTGTGGTCCGTAGCAATGCTTCTGGCCCTCTTTGGATTTGTAATAATCTAGTCCAGATCTGTTAGCAAGATCCCGAAATGCCTTGTCCTGTCTATATTCACCATCCAAGTCCTTCCTCTCCTGCATTGTGTTGCTCCCATACCCCACTGTTGCACTGAAACATAGGATGCTTTGATTGTGACCCTGAAGAACCCTTATTGGGCCTCCTGCTTCAGGGTTGAGGTGTTCTGAGCCCAGGAGAGGTCAGATTATAGAGACACTTTCTGATTGGTCAGAGCAGAGAGTGGATTGTCTTTAAAGTCAGTTGCCATGGTAATAAACTCAGAGTTACAATGATGTATCTTTATTAGAAAAACAGTATATCTAAGCGGAACACTATGTCTTTGGGGTTAACATTTGATTAAACTGAGTTTTTACTTGTTTTCTGTGAGGATCTGAGTCCTGTTAAGAACAACATTATAGATGAAAACCAGTTAAAAACCAGTCAGACCAGATTCCTTCCACTAACTCCTCCTACCTGTCACCTCCATCACAGGAGCAGCTCCGCCTCCTGTCAGCAGCTCACCTGCTTTTCCGTCTGTTGCTCAGATCTTGATCTTCAGCTCTTTGGACCGTTTGAACAAACTGTAAGTTTGCTTTGTTTTTCTCCTAGAATTTTGTCTTCAGAAAAGTTCCTGTTTGTTCTGATGTTTGAAAAGCATGTTCAGTTTTTATCTTAGCAGAAAGATTCTGCTGTTTGAAGACCAATCTATAGATTAATAGATTATTGATTAACTGGAATTAAAAAAAGAATAAATAACTGATATTTCTTTATTCTCTTCACTCAACTAACTGCTTTGTGTTTTTATTTACTGGAATCTAACTCTGCTTTTGTACCAAATGTTTCCTCATGAAGAAAAATTTGTCAGGCTTTGGTTGAGATTTGAGAAGCAGGGAGGCAGAGGTGAATTTTTGTAGATTTAATGAGAGGTAAACAAACGACTGATGCAGGAATCCAAAAACTAAAAAAATCCAACAAGAAAAAAGTTAAACAAACCAGAGACCATGGGGACATCAGGGGAAAACAATCATGATGAGGTAAGACACTGTAAGACGATGGAGGTCGAAGTTAGACGAGGAACCAGCACTGAGATACTGCACAAGGAGTGTATTTATAGGAGACTGAACAAAGAGAGGACTAAGGAACAGATTGGGAGCAGGTGTAAACAGAGCAAACAGGAAAAAGGAGAAAAAGGGAAAAAGGAGATCACAAGAGGGCAGCAGAGGGCAACAAATTAAACCTGAAAACTGAAAAATAACCAGAGAACACAACAAAATAAAAATCAAACCAATAAAACTAGAAAACATGGAGCACAGTAAAACTGAATACTCAAAAGAAAACAAAAACAGAACCAAGACTGTGACAAAATAATTTGGTTTTTTTTCACAACAAAAGAAAGGCTATACAGTATGGCATGCTCCCTGCCTTAAATGTCTTTTTTGACTTTCAACCAAAGCAAAATCTGCTAGGCCTGCGATGGGCTGCGGCCTGTCCAGGGTGGACTGAAAAAACTCTTAAAGACTGAGGAACGTTATTTTACATTTAAATATATATCTCTGTCTGTAGTAAAGACAAACCTGTTGCAGCTGTACCATTTTGCCAAATTAAACCTTTTTAAAATTGTCTTGACCTGTAGAAACCGTCCATGTTTCCTTGAGCCCCAGATCGTGGATATTTGCAAACACATTGATTAGTTATTGAGTAAACATTTTATCAGTGAGACTCTAAACCAAAACTGCTGTAAATCAAGGTTTTCAGGTCTGATTTAGAAGAACTTACAGGTTCTGAACATTGCAGGTTTTCAGATTGTTCCAGATTGATAAGGCAGAGAAACTAAATGGTTCCTCTTCTTATTTTATTCTGGAGTCAATAGGTCTCGAAAGACCTGAGGACTCTGTCTACATGACTGATTCCTGACCAGAGAGACAGAATCAGTAATTACCACATAGGGCTTTCTGGTATGAATAAAAAGCCAGCAAAAGCAAAACAAAAATATCAAAAACAAACGATAAAAAGGACCTCTTCTCTGCAGTAGGACTCATGGTTAGATATGAGACCCACCTTAATGATGTCATCTGCAAACTTATGTCTGCAGGTAGAAAGTGTGTGAGCTGGTGTGGATTCAGCAGTATGGATCAGTGTGAGGACAGAGAGGACGGAGCCCCGCCCTCTAAAACCACTCAGAGTGAGGAAGATGAAGCACAGAGGTGAGATCTTCATCTCCTACTGTCCTCAGTCCTTTTTACACAGCGTTCACTATATCAGGCCAAACAGACCTGGTCATGAAGCTGCTGCTGTTCCTCAGTGGTTCTTCATCCAGACTGAATAGAACCAGCTCAGGATCTAACCAGTGGGTTCTGACCAGCAGCAGAACCAGCTGAGTGACACCAACCAGTTCGATCTAATAAAATGTGTTTTAATTAGTTATTTTCTTCTGATAGGATTCATAAAAAACTGAAAGGTAAACGTGAACCAGAGCCCAGAGATGATTCAGTGGTGCCTCCAAAGAAGTCCAAACGTTCTGGACCTCGATTCTCAGAACCCAGCTGTGTGTCCATTAAGAGTAATATGTCAAAGGGTAAACTCATTAACCTCCAATCTTCGGGAGCTTCATCCTCAGAAAGGTGAGCTTTATCTACCGGCTTTAACCGTGGAAACGGTCTGAAATGGTGTCATTGCAACCTGTTGGGGTTTTATAAGTGTTTCTTTTAGTCTTCTTTTAAACCAAATTTCTATGGTCATAAATTAACATGTATGTTTTGGATGTTTTCCAGAAGCACAGCAGGATGTCATGATGGGTTTTCTCTGAGTGAAGCCCAAGATGCAGAACACACACGGATAGACAGGTAAAAGTCCAAAGAGTTTATTAAAGGAGCACAAGCACATGAATATGAAACCGGGACAGTTCAGGCAGGAGGTTGGTTCACTGGGGTCTGTGCAGGGAACGGGGGATGGCTGGATTACAGAGATAATGAGGT